ACTTACCCTGTTTATCCACACCTTGCTGCTTTTACACATGATGTGCCTTCTGTGTGGCACCTGTGTTTGGTGACAATTTACATTTTTCCAAGTTCACCTCAAACGTTCCTCCTTTCTGGAGATCCGGCCTGGTCCTCTCCATCTGAAGTTAGCCTCGTTGTGCTTGAGCTCCCACAGCCCTCTGGTTACATGTCTCTCACCCCTCAATGCGGTATCCTGCATGCTGGGTTTATGGGCCCACCTCTGCCACCTGTGAGCAGATTGGGGCAGACCCAAGTCACATCCCCACACCTTATTCCCCTTGCAGGCACAGGTCTGCTTTAGAGGAGGGTGCTGGCGATTGGTGGAATGAATGGACTTACTGGTCTCACATAAATGGGCCCTTTCATACTCTCAGAAACCTCTGTCCGTTCTCCTTTCTGTACTTGTTTCCTGCCTGGTGTTCTTTGAGTCCCTGTACATATTTCTGGAGTGGAAGAGATACCTACACCTATTCTGTTTTTCATGGAACAAAAGGAAAGGAAAGTTATCATTCACGGCAAACCTCCTGTACTCATCTGTCAACGTTACAACCCTGGCGTATCATATTATTGATTAGGGAATTTAGGATCCAAGCCTCAGAAAACACCAACTTAACCGGCTTAAACAATAAAGGAATTTATTATTGAATACGTCTCTTATAATAAGGCATAAAGCTAGGGTGGCTTCAGGGATGGTGGCTTAACTGTGTCAACAAAAACTCCCTCCTTTCTATCTTTCTTCTCTGCCAACTTGAACTTAAGAGTTTTTTTCTTTGGGCTGACTCACCTCATGTCAACAAAATGGCTGCAGCAGATCCAGGCATAACATCCTGATGCAATAGTGGTCAGAAGAAGAAAGATAGCTTCTCTTCCTTGGGCCTCTCTTTAAAATGGAGGAAAAAACTTCCAGAAGCTTCTAGAAACTTCCTCTCATAGCTCATTTACCATAATTGGATCACAAGCCAACACTTGAGCCAGTCACTGCTAAGGGAAATCAGATTGTCATGATTAGTATAAACCAATTAGGTTCTCACCTAGAGGCATTGGAGAGAGGCGTGTCTGCCACAACAAAATGAGGGTCCTTTCAGGAAGGAAAAAGAATAAAATAAATGTTGGGGAGGAAGGAAATCGGCAGTGTCAGCTACACCCTTTTTCACAGAGAATTATTTTATACCACACTTCAGGGAGGTTAAGTCACTTACATAAGATCCCAGAGCTGATAAAAATAGAAGGATTCAAATCCAACTCTTTCAAACTCCAAAGCCCATCCATGTACTTTTTCTGCTGCACAGCTGGACCCAGGGTCAAACTTCATTTCCCAGAAAAGCCAAAGCCCCCTCTCTCAGGGTGAGCACTTCAGGAGCTGAGACAATCACCCTGCTTTCCCAAGCCGACCTGCAGCTGGGCATTTAATCTGTTTATTAAGTTATGACTAATGGCACTGCGAGACACCGAGGGCTGCACATTCAGACCTAGTTTTAGATTGTTAGAGGAGGCTCAGGGGATAAACATCACATTCATATTCTATGCTGAGAAAATTCAATTGCAGCCCTTTTTCTTTCAGAGCGCGGGACTGGCGAGGGGCTTCTGCTGGGTCTTGCTTTGGTTTAATAGAAATGAAACCTCCCAAGCAGGCGGGCTGTTTGGGAAAGTGGCCGCTAATGCGGCCCCATGGGGCAGGGGCCAGGCCCAAACCGGGCAGTTTGCATATTCACTTTTACAAACTGTTGGCTCCAAGTCAGCAGTTAATGGGATGGGAATGATGTTCCTGTACCAAACCATTTCCTGAAAAAAACATTTTCAATTGCAAACATATCTCAGCCTTTCTTCTTGGGTTTGTTTTGTCTCTGTGAGTGAATTAAAGAGGCAGGGCAGAGGGGAGTGTTTCTGACTGGGTTTTTTTTTTTAATCTGAAACCATTTTTAACAATGATCTCCATGTCAGAGATCCTGCTCTGACAGACCTTTAGGAGACCTGGCTGTGAATACTCTGTTTCTAGCCACACTTGAGAGGTGTAAATATCTCCATATTCACAAATTGGCTCTGGCTGTACTGGTCGCGGGACACACTCGGCTTTTCTCTGCTACCAAAGCTTGAGCTGGAAATGCTGCCCCAGACATGTGTGTGCGCGCGCACACACACGGGGTCAGGCCAATGGGTGATTTTCCCTTTTCCTGAGGACAGGCTGGAGTCCTTCTGTGCACCCTCTGTACTGTTTTGGCAGATTATATTTCAACTCATAACCTGTGCAATTGAAGGGTGGTCTGAACAGTTTTTTAGTAGTTTATTTTTTTTTTTTGTATTTTTCCATTACCCTGTATCCCCACGACAGCTCTAATTATACATTTATTCGGCGAGTAGTTATTGAGTGCTTATTGTGTATGAGGTATTATTGTAACTAATAACAATAGTGTATATTTACATAGATGTTACCAGGTTCCAGGGACTCATCTAAATGTGTTACATACATTAACTAACTTAAATCTTCTCAACAAGCCCTAGGAGCTAGACAACGTTATTATCATTTCCATTTTGTGGATAAGCAGACTGAGGTATAAGAGGCTGATGAACTTGCCGAGGTCACATAGCCTAGAAAGTGACCCTGGATTTGAATCTAGGCAGTCTGGCTCTTCCTTGGGATCTAACAGTGAATAAAAGGGAAAAAGAGCCAGTGTTCCCACAACTTCCACTCTGGTGTGTCGGGAGGGAGATAGAGAACAGGCCTGTGAATAACCGTGATTTCGGATCATAAGGAGTGCTCGAAGAAAAGGAGGGAGGATGTGGGCTAATGAGAGGGTCTCATAGGTCTTAGGAGTTGGGGTTTATTTTGAGCATGGCCAGAAGCCACAGGAAGTCTTAGAACAGGAGAATGTATGATCCTATTTACATCTTTATGCTTCTTTCTGACTGTGTTATTGGCAGTAGATGAGGGGTGGAGATTAAGCATCAGAAAGTGGACCAGTTAGAAGGTGGTTCTGGTTGTTCAGGTGAAAGGTAACAATGGCCTGAACCAGGATGATGGCGGTGGTGAGGGTGAGAAACTTGGAATTGGGTCCTGGTTTGGAGGTGGAGCCTACAAAACTTGCCAATGTATTAGAGGCAAAAGGTGAGGGGGGAAAACGGTTACAGATGACTCTGTGGATTTGGGCTTAAACCAGTGTGTCCATGGTGGGGCCACCCACTGGGGAGGCTAACAACAGGGGAAGAGCAGTCTTGTGTCGGTGCTGTGGTGGTGGGAGTGAGGGTGTGGAAGGTCAGAGCTCTGTTGTGGTTGTGTAAATGCGACACCTCTGCTAACAGACATGAGAAGCCATAAAGTGAGCCTGCAGCTCGGGGTCAAGTCTAGGCTGGAGGTTTAAATGAGGACCTTAGCATTTAGATATATTGGGATCACCTAGGACAATGCCATCCATCCCTGATGATAGAAATCTACGTCTGTAGCTACCGGTATGGTAGTCACTAGCTACATGTGGGCCATTGAGCACCTGAAATGTGATGGGTGCAACTAAGAAACTACATTTTAAATTCATTTATATTGAAAAGGCCACCTGTGGCCCAATATGCCCACCATATGGGACAGCATAGATCCAGGGCAGGATGTAGGTAAAGAAGGTCCTGGCTGGGAGCTAGTTTCCTCCCTGTCCAGGAAGCCCGGCCTCTCACCCACGTGTGTGTGACTTTATTTCCTCTGCCCATTACTTGCACAGCAGTGCTTGTTAAGTTATGGAAATCTTGCTTCTTTGTGAGAAACAGCCTGGAAAAGGAGGAAACTGCCAGTCCTAGCAGGAATATCAAAAGAAATTATAGAAGTCTAAGGAAACTATTGTTCTTCTCTAGCAAGCGAATACAATCCTATACCCACAGAATCATTTAAGTCTTGAAGGTATCACTTACGTTTTCCGTTATGTTTTATGGGGGAGAATTATACAGAGTAGTGAGTATCTGTGAATTTGGGGATTCAAGATGCTGACTGGCTGGTGTCCCATATGAATGTCAAGGGTCCACAGCCAGGGGACTAAATACCAGCTTTATAATGCAAGTTGTGTCTCTTTGGGATAGAGTTTGTTTCACTCTTTGTTAGGCAATCGAATTCTCCATCCAACTGCAGCCATCAGTGACTTTCCTCATATGAAAGAAATCTTTGTAAGCATTGTGAGCGCCTGCCTTGTGCTTAAGAGTTCTCGCAAGTATACACTGGCAATCAGTGAGGCCAGAGTCAATAAAAAGTGAAATAAAATGGAAAGATGGGACATTGCTTCTATGAAGGTTGATTGCAGCTGCCACGTTAGTTAAGAACCTTTTGCTGACCAACGCTTTCAAAGAAAATGCTTTGTGTGTGTGTGTGTGCGCGCGCTTAATTGGTAAAAAGTAATTATCCAAATGGAATTGAATAGCAGTGAGAGGATTTCAGTCACTGCGTTGGAGAGGTGGCTCCCAGAGCCCAACCCTTAGAGCTGGAGGGACAGGACCAGAGCCCAGGAACGAGGCTGGACTGGGGCGTTCTCCTGGGGTGGAGGAGGGAAGTAGGACAATCAGAAAAAGGGAAGTTGAACCAAGAGAGAAGTCACACGGAGGTTGAGCCAAAGAGGAGATGGCTCACCACATAAAGGTGTCCTTCATGTGGTGACCTCCTTCACCCAGGTGCCCACAGTCCCAGTAGCAAGCCCTTTGAAGGAGGGGTGGCAGGAGGCAGACACTTAAGATGCCAGTGCCCACTTCACTTTCATTTATTCCAAGATTGCTTCTGAGAGGAGGCAGAGACCTCCCTATTTCTCCCAGGAAAGGGAATGAGGTGCCATAAAAGGGGCAGTTCAGTTTTTTTAGCAAGGTGAAGTGGGGAACTGATTGCAGGAAGAGCAACAGCCGTGATAAGCGCCTTAGTGGTCTTGTTTCTCAATATCAGTATCAAACACGTCAGTGGGAGATCCACTCCCCTGTCTTCAGTGGGCTGTGACGTGACCCTGTGCTTTCTTCTTTCAGTGTCAGAGCTTCAGGAGGAGGGCATGAACGCCATCAACCTGCCCCTCAGTCCAATCCCCTTTGAGCTGGACCCCGAGGACACGATGCTGGGTAACTGGGTCTCTTATTCTCTGGGGTAGCCCAATGCCTTCCAGCACAACTACCCCCACTGACTTCCTTTTCTTTTTAAAGAGGAGAATGAAGTGCGAACGATGGTGGATCCAAACTCACGCAGCGACCCCAAACTTCAAGAACTAATGAAGGTAAGAAGAAATTAGGAGCCTCAGATGCGTCCCAGACTCAACAGGTGTCTCTAGACCACCCACCCTGTGCAGGTACCACGTGAGCCACTGCTGAGAGAATAAAGTCACATCAGCCTCTGCCTGCAGGCAGCTCATGATCCAGTAGATGGACATCTAAAGTTTAACAGAAGTGGCGTATGACAAATGCCCAGTGAATTATGTTGATAATAAGCATCAGAGAAGTTAGTGCAAATAAGCTCACATCTGCCAGAATCTTATAGTCTATACACTCCTTTCAATGCTTTTCTTAAGGGCCCTCCAAGGTTCCCTGTGAAGTAGGAATTAGTATCAGCCCATTTTACAGATGAGGAAACAGTCTCAGAAAAGCTCAGTGGTTTGTTTATGGTCACAGCAGAGTGAGGTGATGGAATTCAAATAGACGTAAGTGGGGTTAAATGAAATATTGTGCCCCTGGCACAGGGACTGGCATATGGTCACCCCTCTAAAAACGTTCATTTCATTCCCCCTTCTAACTCCCCATCTTGTGTTTCTCTTCTTCAACTCCTCCAAGCTTCACTTAGGACAAATGGACACTGGATGCCGGAATGATTCATTCAGAATGCAAATCTGAATATATCATTTTCCTGCTCAAAACCTGTGTGCTGTTTCCCACACCCCTGGGAGTGGCATTTGCGGTCTCCATGCTCTATCTGCCTCCTCAACCTTAGACGCCCCCTGCCTGGTGGCACAGGGACACCAGACTCGCTCGTGGTGCCCTCTATACCCACCGTGCTTGCTTCCGGCTCTCCCCACTGCCGAGTCTTCGCTTGTGCCGTCCTCTGCACCAGATGCCTCTACCTACCCTTCAGAGCAGGGTCAAAGTGGGGTTGCATCCCCCAGGGAGCCTTCTGTAAACTCCATGTCACTGCTCAGCCCCTTTGCATGCTGCTCGGTCTCTATGTTTGGTTCTGTCATCGCAGTCACCGTATGATACTTCTCTGTCTCCTTCACTAAATGCTGAGTTTCTTTGAGTTAGACTGTTTCTTTTATTTTCATTTTTTATCGTGTCCCCAGGACCCAGCACAGTGTGGCACACACAGGAGGTATTAATGAGTGCTGGGTGGTAAATGGAGGCAGAGAGGAAACAGGGGAGGGAGGGAGGGACGTACCCACGGAGAGCCATAGCGGTGGTGGCTAAAGCCAGAGTTTCAACTCCAAACCCCACACACTGCTCAGCACAAAGCCCCGTCCAGAGACTGACCGTTGCTTGCCCTTAGGGTAAGGAATGGTAGGGGGGCAAAAGATATAATCAGGGACACGCATGTCACCATCACAAGAAGAGCCGGCACCTGAAAATTAACAGGGCCACTGGGGCTCACACTTGTACCTACTTGTCCACAAACTGGGTCATGTGGTTAGCTCTCCTGCTTTCAAAATCTGAAGTGCATTTACATTGTATTTGTCCAGGATTACAAAGCTGGTCTATGAGAAAATACTCTATGACTCCTCTTGTTTTCACTCTCTCTCCCTAGGTATTAATTGACTGGATTAATGATGTGCTGGTTGGAGAAAGAATCATTGTGAAAGACCTGGCTGAAGATTTGTATGATGGACAAGTCCTGCAGAAGCTGTTCGGTAAGAGGAGAGCTGCCTGGTGCAGGGGGTCTTGCATAGCAGGGCATGGACCGTGCACTCCTCGTCCAAAGGAGTTGTTCTCGGTTCCCAGAGGGTCACTGGAGTGGGGTATGAATGTGTGCAGTGTGGAGTGACAGACCCCTGGAGCCTTCACGTGTCCCCTCAGAATCAGTTTGACATGAATGAGTTGCAGAGGGAGTCTCAATGACCAGCTGGGGCTGCTGACCCCCACAGTCAAGGGTCATCAGCTGGGTAGGTGAGAAGACTTCACTATACACTGGAAAACGTGCCCCACCCTCTCCAGAAAATTGTGCATTCATGACCTCTGTAGGTGCATTTACTTGTGTCTGGGTGGATGTGCTTATATATCTCTGTCACCTATGGGAATGTGTGTGTGTGTGTGTGTGTGTGTGTGTGTGTGTGTGTGAGCACGTGTATGGGCCTCTGTGACCTAGGGACCTCTGTACATGTGTGTGTGTGTGTGTGCATGTGCACCTCTGCCATCCCTCTCTAGGTTAAGGGCAAGTGTATGATGTTCAGTCTCTGTGTGTGTCCCCTCCATGAAGGTGCGTATCTCTGGGTTGGTTCACAGTGATTCGTGTGAAAATGTAAGGCCAGGGTGGAAGGAAAGGAGAATTCGGATGTGATCCTAGTGTTGAAAAGACAAATTCAACGTGAACGGATTTGGACTTCCCCTCACTGTTGTCCATTTTTTCTCTCGTCCAAATCTCTTTCCTAAGTTCTAGACTTTGGTGCGTAACTGCCCACTACACACCTGCACACAGGGTTCTCTTCCACTTTAGGGGTGTGGGCAAGAGAAAACAATTGTTAGAGTTGTGCACTGGGGGAAGAGGACCCCCAAGCGATGTGACCCTCTCATTGTAGCACATCAGGGAGGACGGGTTGTTAACACCTTCTCATTGGTGATGCTAAACTGGATCACTTGATAAAGTGGGGTCCACCAGACTTCTTCACTGTAAAGTTACAATGACTTTATTTGGGGGGAGACAGGTTAAGACTTGTAAATGCTTTTCACTAATTTTAACTGGTGCAGCAGGTCTGCCTCGGTTATTACGGGGGTGGTCTGGTGGGGATTCTCTTTGTCCTCATTCCCTCCACATGCATTAGTTGGGATTCTTCTGTGAGGACGCTCTGTCGCCTGTTCCCCATTTGCTCATTTATATCAGCATGGACACACGGACACTCTTTTACATATTACGTTATAATCCAGTACTATCCTTATCCATTTTTTGCTGATACATGTCCGGCTTTGAACCTTGGCAGCTCTTTCAGGTTGGCTCCGGTGCGCTTCTGACGTGCTGCCTTGGTTTCTTCTCAGCACTTTGGTGCTTTCTGGCATCATAAGGTACACGAGGCTCAGCTTGTGTTCGACTTGCTCTGGCCCTGGAAGCAACCACTTGACCAAGGAGCCCCAATCTCTTTTTTCTTTTTTTTTTAAGAAATGGAATTTAAAAATCAATATCTCAGCACATTAGTGAGTGTTGATTTTTTCCCAAGTACTGTTGTCATGCAATGTTATTAGTTTCAGGCGTCCAGTATATGAAGTGATCGTACCATTTGAAATCTGGCACCCACCTGACACCATGTGTAGTTATTACCGTCTTATCGACTATGTTCCCTGTGCTGTACTTTATATGTCCGTTGACTGTTTTGTAACTACCAATTTGTACTTCATCCCTTTTACCTTTTTGACTCAGCCCCACACACCCCCACCCATCAGATGGCTACTAATTCGTTCTCTGTCAGTCTGCTTCTGTTCCGTTAGTCAGTTTTTTTTTAGATTCCACATGGAAGTGAAATCATATGCTGTTTGTCTTTCTCTAACTTATTTCACTTTTCTCAGTACCCTCTAAGTCTATCCATGTTGTCACAAATGGTAAGATTTCATTCTTTCTATGGCTGAGTAATATTCCAATGGATGTATGTACTGCCTCCCCTTTATCCAGTCATCTGTGATTGGACACTCAGAATTCTTCCATATCTCGGTAATGTAAATAATGCTTCGTGGAACATGGGGGGAGGTATCTCTTTTCAAATTAGTGTTTTGGAATTATTCGGATAAATACCCTGGAGTGGAATTGCTGGGACATACGCTAATTCTGTTTTTAATTTTTTAAGAACCTCCATAGTGTATAGTGTTTTCCACAGTGGCTGTAACCAATTTGCAATTCCACTAACAGTGCACAAGGGTTCCCTTTTCTCCACATCCTTGCTAACACATTTGTTGATTTGTTAATAACTATTCTAATGGGTGTGGGGTGATAGTTGGTTGTGGTTTTAATTTGCATTTCCCTGGATTACTGATGTTGAGCATCTTTCCATACGTCTATGGGTCATCGGTGTGTTATCTTTGGAGAACTGTCTATTCAGGTCCTCTGCCCATTTTTAAGTTGTATTCTTTGGTGGGGCTTTTTAGGGTTAATTTGTGTGAGTTCCTTATTTATTTTGGATACTAAATCCTTATATGATGTATCACTGGCAAACACCTTCTCCTATTCAGTACGTTTGTTGTCTTCTCTTTTTGTTAAAGGTTTCCTTCTCTATGCAGAAACTTTTTAGTTTCATTTTGTCCCATCTGGTTTTTTTTCTTTTGATTCCCTAGCCAGAGACATAGCCCCAAAAATATATTGCTAAGAGCAATGTCACAGAGTTTACTGCCTATGTTTTCTTCTGGGAGTTTGATGGTTTTAGGTCTTAAATTTAAGTCTTTAATCCATGTTGGGTTTATTCTTGTATATGGTATACAAAGTGACCTAGTTTCATTATTTTCCATGTATCTGTTCAGTTGAAGAGATTGTCTTTGTTCTATTGTATATTCTATCCCCTTTTGTCATAGATTAATTGATCCTATAAGTGTGGGTTTATTTCTGGGGTCTCTACTTTCCATTTATCTATGTGTCTGTTTTTATACCAGTACCATAATTACTGTGACCTTGTAGTATAGTTTGATATCACATAGTGTGATACCTCCAACTTGTTTTTTATTTCTGAAGATGGTTTTCATTATTTGGAGTCTTTTGTGTTTTTTAAACAAATTTTTGAAATATTTGTTCTAGTTCTGTGAAAAATGCCATTGGTGTTCTAATAGGGATTGCATTATATCTGTATGTTGCTTTGTACAGTATAGACATTTTAATGATGTTAATTCTTCCTATCCACGTGCCTGATGTATGCTTCCATTATTTGTACCTTCTTTAGTTTCTTTCTTTAGTGTCTTAAAATTTTCAGAACACTGGTCTTTCACCTCCTTGGTTAAATTTATTCTTAGGCATTTTATTCTTTTGGATGCAGTTATAAATGGCATGGCCTTATTCATTTTTCTTTCTTATATTTGGTTATTAAAGTATAGAAATGAAATCAATTTCTGAATATTTATTCTGTATCCTGCTACTTTCCTGAGTTTATCAGTTCTAACAGTTTTTTGGGTGGAATCTTTAGGGTTCTTTATATATATTATCACATTATCTGCAAATAATGACAATTTTACTTCTTCCTGTCCAATTTTGATCCCTTTTATTTTTTTTTAACTTTATCTGATTGCTGTGTATAGGACTTTAAATATCATGTTGAATAAAAGTGGTGAAAATGGACATCTTGTTCCTGATCTTACAGAAAGAGCTTTCAAGTTTTCATTTTTGAGTATGATAGCTGTGGGTTTGTCAAATATGGCCTTTATTACGTCAAGGTATGTTTCATTTATCCCTTTTCTGACAGTTTTTATCATGAATTGATGTTGGATTTTGTCAGATGCTTTTTCTGCATCTGTTGATATGATCATATGATTTGTATCCTTCATTTTGTTTATGGGTATATCATGATAGTTGATGTGCAGATATTGAACCAACCATACATCCTGGGAATAAATCCCACTTGAACATATGGTATTTAAAAAGATCAGGCATATGATCTTTTTAATGTATTGCAGGATTCAGTTCACTAATACTTTGTTAAGGATTTTTGCATCTATGTTCATAAGGGATATTGGCCTATAATTCTTTTTTCTTGTGATGTCTTTGTCTGGTTTTATTATCAGGGTAATGCTGGCCTTGTTAAATGAGTTTGGGAGACTTTCCTCTTCAATTTTTTGGAGTAGTTTGAGAAGAATAGGTATTAATTTTTCTTTGTGTATTTGATAAACCTCATCTGTGAAGCCCTCTGATCCAAGACTTGTTTGTTGGGAGTTTTTTGATTAGTGACTCGATTTTGTTAGTAGTTATCAGATTGTTTCTTTCTGATTCAATCTTGGAAACTTGTTTATTTCTAGGATTTATCATTTTTGTCCAGGTTGTCCAATTTGTTGGCACACAATTGTTCCTACTATTTTCTTGTAATTCTTTGTATTTCTGTGGTGTAAATTGCCACTTCTCGTCTTTTATTTCTGATCTTATTTGGGTCCTCTTCTTTTTATTCATTAGTCTAGCTAAAGGTTCATCAGTTTTGCTTATCTTTTCAATGAACCAGCTCCTGGTTTGATTGATCTTTTCCATTGTTTCTGTGGGCTATTTTGTTTATTTCTGCTCTGATCTTTATTATTTCTCTGCTTCGACTCACTCTGGACTTTGTTTGTTCTTTTTCTAGTGCCTGTTGGTGTAAGATTAGAATGTTTGAGGTTTTTCTTGTTTTTTGAGTTAGGTATCTGTATTGCTGTGAATTTCCCTCTTAGAATTACTTTTTTTTTTGTATGTCCCATAGATTTTGGGTTGTTGTATCTTCGGTTTTAATTTGTCTAAAGGCATCTTTTGACTTTTTTCCCCTTGACTTCATCGTTAACATAGTCATTGATTAGCATCGTGTTATTTATGCTCCACACGTGTGTGTTTTTAAATTTTTTAAATAATTGATTCCTAGTTTCATAGTATTGTGATAGAAGAGAATGCTTGATATGATTTTAAACTTATTAAATTTATTGAGACTAATTTTGTGGCCTCACAAAATAGTCTATCCTGGGAAATCTTCCATATGCACTTGAAAAGAATGTG